TCTCGCACTCTTCAAGAGCGGCGGTTCCCCAGCGGTCTTGGAACATTGCCGATCAATCCTGCTGGACAGCCCGACCAGCAAGTCTTGGCACCGCCCCCTACGTGACAAAGTTGCAGGCTATGTTCAGATTCTTCTTCGCGACACTCAAGCTGGCGGTCGCGCCCGCCGTGGTCCAGCGCAGCTGTTCCAAGCGGTGTCCAGCTTCCTGCAGGTGCGCCGCCGCCGACGCGGCGCCGTCTTATCTTTTGCGGGCCTGCGAGCTGCCTCCTACCCGGTTATGCGCCCACTGGTACTACCATCGGCCGACGACGACGACAACAAGAGTTTTGTGCTTCACAGTCACGATCTTCCATTCCTGGCACTATCGATGATCGCGCATGCACCCAGCCAGCCTGGGCCCCAAAGTGCACTGAGCGACCGGCCACGTCTACTGGCAATGTTGATCGGGGGCCATCGCGATACCGATATTGGAGTACCTCATACAGACCTTCTTGCATGATCGCGACGTGGCGCGCGGCCAGGCAGTTCCCTTGCGGACGCAGTGTTGTACGCGTCGTTCGCTGAACCACATCAAGCTGCAGGGAATGGCATCTGGGCCAACGGCGACCGAGTTTTCTCCCAGGAACTACACGTGCCAGACCTCGTGGGCGTTCCCTTCGCGCGCGACGGGTTGTTCTTGCCAGCGACGACGGATGGCGACGCAGTCGTCGAGGCAGGTGGGAAGGTCATTGATATCGCCCACCGCCGCATGGCCACTCACACGTTCACGAACAATTTCGAGAATAACGAATCGACCATGGCGATTACCCCTGGCGGCGACGGCGCAGCAACTCTTCAGGGGCAGCTTGAGGAACCGGATGGCACGAAGATCTGCCTACCAAAGATTCATCAAAGGATCTGGATATGCGAAATGTACCTTTTTCTTTGGCCCCATGCTCGACGCCACCACGTCGCGCGAACCCCCGAAGTGCTGAGGCCGTTCGGAGACAGAGAGGGGCTTTAGACGATATTCGACTTGTGCACCCTGCTGCATCGCATGGGTCAAGAGGCCAATCTGAACTTAGCCGACGTACTCGCTAACGTGCACATCCAATATGTGAGTGAGGTCTGGCAGAAACTCTCGAGCCCCCAGGCGCGCGCAAAAGCGACCCCAAGGATGGCGGCTTACAGGGTGGCATCAAGGCGCCTACATCACTCCGAGAGCGAGACCTTCTACACGGACGACGAAATACGGGTGACGGCGGACAGAATACCGATTCAGGATGTCATTCGACGGCGACTTTTCTTGTGCGTTTGATCACTTTTACCCGTGCGCCTGCCGTGCTTTCTTATTGGTGGATCTGCTGCAACACGTTGATAAAACGTGGCCTACACTGCTGCTGGATGAGTTTCAATGGTTGGTGGTCCATGTATCTCTAGCTGAAGAAATGAGATTGGACTGTGCGAGAATGATTTGTGTTCGCCCTCGAATCTCCCAGACATTATCGCGCCCGGGTTAATAGGAGTATGGCAACACTGGACAGAACGTGAACTTGACCACCTGCGTACAGTCACATGGACGCATTGGATGGAGTCTTTGGCTTGTCGCACAATGAGCTCTGCCGTTCATGCTATTCGATACTTATGCTGCGAATGCGAGAGTACATTCGAAAATAAAGTAGCACTTCGGCGGCACGGGCCTTCGCGTCCTCCCCCATAGACCTGGCTCGACGCTCATCACGGGGGTTCCTTTGTTCCTTTCTCCAAAGCGTGGGACTACCTTGGGCGACCGTTCTTAAGTGGCCAAGCGCTCGCGGAAAGTGGGCAAAGCATTCGTCTTCAGGATCCAGCAGAGTTGTGTGCTGATTGATCATGAACGGTCTATGGAAATGAATGAGCTCGACATGACAGCGGAGCAAAAAAGAGCCCGCACCGGGTATCACCGCCTCAAGTTGTTTCGTCATGCTAGAAGACCTGAGGTTGGCGAAAGACCAAGTGGTGCTCGCCATTGGGGAGGACGCAGCAAACTTGCTTGAAAAGAAAAATCATCCTGAAGCATCGCCCGTGGTGGTAGTGATTGAAAGCCACGGGTTTGATGTCAGTGTCTCGCCTGTTGCTGTGGATACTCCAACTACGGTGATATGGATTGGCTTTTTTTCGGAGGAGCGGGCTGACACGATTTCCAGGTGGGTCCAGCTCTATATCAGATTGGAAGTTCACGTTCGTTTGGTTTCGGGCAGCAGTGACGACAAGGATGTGGATATCTCGGATACCTTGGCGATGGAAGTACTGCATTGCTTCCAGGCAGGAGGAGCTGTTGGTATTCTGAGGAAGGCCCGACTGCGTACTTGGCGACGGTCCCAACAGACGCAGCTTACGGTCGGCGAGGTACGTACTCTTCGGGAGCACTCTCACGACCTTGGTGCACAAACTTCTCGCACGACGAACACCGCTATGAAAAATACGCGATACCGCAACTCCAGAAGAAAATGCTTCGTGACAGTGTTCAGCCTCGGGGTCCGTCGTTGGTCTTGGCGATTCCACGACGTGCTGGTATCCCTGTTGTTGTGGTGCTTCCCCACCTGCAGGATTCATTGGCAGCTACGGCGCATTCTGTGCAAGCTGCCTTCAAGATGTGTTTCCTTCGCTTCGGGGCAGAAGCCCATGGCCAGTGATATTGGTATTGAGAGAGGCTTTGAGCGGCTTCTGTGCAGAATTGTGTTTCGAGCTGAAGTGTGCGAGCTTGTCCCAGCCCGTGCGAGGAGGTTGGGGGTGACGGGGGCTTGGGTGGCGAAAGTGGTTGGGGATGAAACAACACCTGAGCGCCACCCCATGCCACCCCCCCTCGACCCACAAAAGTACACCAGCTACGACACGTCTCCCTTCCCCCCCCCGCGCACTTGCTGTTTGAAGAGGAAGTGGTATGTTCATGTTGAGGGGTATCGTCGAGCTGGTGTATCTCTCTGTCCTTTTCCTTTTCCCGAGGGCGGCGAAGCCGCGGGTCGACCCGGGGGGGGGCAACAGCGGGCTCTGCGAAAGCCACTCGCGAAGCTCCCCCCCACACAGTGGCTCTCGCCAAGGCAACGTTGCTCGCTCGACATGCAGTCTCCCCCCACGCTCGTCATTCGACCATCGCGTTCATGCATCCCGCTTCCGAGCTCCTGGTGCGTAGCGCGGGGGCAATTTGAAGGGGCCCGCGCGGGTGGCGAAAGTGGCAGCCGAGCGCCACCCCGCGGCTGGCTCACCTTGACCAGCCGACTCCCTCCCTTCACAGTCCTGCCACCCTTGCTCTTCCCGCTCCTCGGCGCGGCCCTGCCGCACTTGCCCACCCAGGCCTGCCACCAGCTCACCCTCGAGCCGGAGACGCGCCCGAGAAGGCCCGCCAGGAGCCGCATGGAGGTCAAGAGGCCTCTGCAAGCTCCTGACCCTGACCAGGACAACTTCCCCTCCCCTGGGCCATCCTCGGCCAGCTCAGGCCTCTGCAGGCCTTTCCTCGCCTCGGCTCTGCTGATTGTCCTGGTCAGGGCGCTGCACCTTTCTGGAACTCTCGGCCACTAGGGCCTCCTTCCTGGTGCCCGTGTGCGGCTGGTGCTGGACTCGCCTTGGGTCGCGCGACTGCTTTGAACGGGTAGGTGCGGCCATCTGGCGCTTCCCGTCCGTGCGGACGATGAGGCGTCCGCCACCTGCCCGTTGCCTGGCGCTGCGGGCCGTGGCGCCCAGCAGCCTGGCGAAAATGAAGGAGCAGCTTTCGTGCACCTTCGGCGCTCAAGGGGAGCGCTTTCGAGCCATTCGTTCGATGCGTCCAGTCATGACCACGCAGACACCGCACCCCCAGCCAAACATATCCGCCGACCCCCGCTTGCCAGACGAGTTCCCCCTCTCTCTTTCCCCCTCCCCTGTGGTCCAAATGCCCCGGCCTATGAGCTCTCCAACGCTCCTCCCGGGGCTTCTGGAGCCTCCAGAGAGCCCCACGACGGCCCAAGATGGCCCAACCATCGAGGCCCAGGCACCCCTGGCCCAGGTATGTTTCGGGCGTCGTCCTTGTGGCACCCAAAAGCGCTCCAGAAGCCTTCATCGAAGCCTGCAGGAGAGCCGAAGGGGGTCGGAGTCAGTCCAAGAGTACTCGAAGGTGTTTTATTCACAATCCAAGAGGCTCTAAAACGCCCCAACGGCGCTTCAGAAGAACCGCCAAGAAGGCGCAGAGAGTCAACAATTAGTAGTTGCCATATGGTTGTTGGAAAGACTGTGGTGTCACCACATTTGTCTGGATACAGCCCACGAGGCCCCCAAGACCGCCCCAAGAAAGCCCAAGAGGGTCGCAGGACTAGGGCCCCAAGTTGGTCCAAGAGGCCACCCAAGAGAGCTCTGGAGGCCCCAAAAAGGGCCCGAAAAGGAATCCGAGCTGACATGTCGAGCCCTTTCACAGAAATATGACCCGCGAGACCGCCAGCGAGCCCCCAAGAGGCCCCCTCGGAGGTCCACTGTACCATCCCAAGAGGTCTCCAAGACACCCAAAATCTTAAAATACTGCCAAGCGCCCCCCCCCCAAAGACCTCCAAGACGTCTCCGTGTCCCGCAGAGGCGTATTGTCCATGACCCATGATGGCCCCGGGAGTGTCCGAAGAAGCCATCGAGTCCTCCCCCTCCTCCTCTTCTTCCTCCTCCTCCGTAATACAAGCTGACACTTCCAAACATGCACCTACCTTCTCCGCTGGGGTTGAGCGGAATGGCGCAAGCCTCTGTAATTGAACAGTTACAGATCTGTCGGAAGAAACTGGTGGAAACATCAAGTAGAACAGCGTTGAATGTATATTGTATGTCCGCTCGCCCCCTCGATTATTGAAGCAGGGAGACGACAGAAGATGGAAAGCCACTCAATCCTTGAGGTAGGGGCGCGCCCTAAGTGGATTGGAGTCTGTGAATCAAAAGCACAGCTACTTTCTACCATCGGTGAATACGCAAGAGAGAGGTCACCCGATCTGAGCCTGGCCCATGGCAGAGAGGCTTGCACCAACCGTCGCGGTCTCCACAATTGCCGCGGTACTCGGAGCATAGCTGAGCTCGTAGGTGACGCGCCTGCGCGCGGCTGACATGACAGACAGGCAGACGGTTGTGTCATCAGCGCAACCAAATACAATATCAGGGGCATCGCTAACCTCGCTGATGCGTCCCCTGCTTGAGTATCAAGCTTGGCGGAAATCAAAAGGAAATGCGGTTCTCCAAGCATTGTGGATGCCACGACAATGTACACCCTAACAGTCATACCATCGAATAAAAATGTGTTTAAACTGTCGGAAAGATGTCCTTGGAATGTTTTAAGCATGTCTTTGACATATAATAACAACATGTTTGAAACATGTTTTAGACATCTCGGCATTAGTTGGCAACATGCTTCCTCTCCATTGATCGCCCTCCACAATCCAAGAAGTGCTTGGACTTAGGGGTCCTAATTTCTCTTCCACGGAGCTGGGCCTGGCTGGCGCTCTGGCAGCCCCGTGCTCGCCACCACCGCCCCGTCGCCGCCCGTCGTCTGGGCCTGGCCGGTGGTCTGACGGCGCCGTGCTCGCCGCCGCCGCCCCGTCGCCGCCTCTTCGCCGCCCGTCGTCTAGGCCTGGCTGGTGGTCCGGCGGTTCCGTGCTCGCCGTCGCCGCCCCATCGCCGTTTCGTCGCCGCCCGTCGTCTGGGCCTGCCTGGCGGTCTGGCGGCTCCGTGCTCGCCGTCGCCGTCTCGTCGCCGCTTCACCGCCGCCGCCTACATTGCACAACAGATATCGCTCCACATAGATTTCCCCACGTCGACTGCACCGATGACTGCACCACGTCGACTGCACCACCTCAATTGCACCACTCAGTTTGCACCACATAGTCTGCACATTATACATTGCACAAACAAATTGGAACACATTGCTTGAACCACATCAATTCTCTCACGTATACAGATTGCGTCACGTAAACTGCACAACATCGACTGCACAACATAGGTTGTGCAACATCTAGCCTACGTACTGCTGAACTACACGTTGTTCTGGTGCTGCACCAACGCAGAAGCCAACAAGAGGAACGACCCTGGCTCCGACCACAAGGCTGTGACCACCGACATGCGGATGCCGACCACAACGGTAAGCAGGCGACCGCTACACGACGACGAAGGACGTTAGCAACACCACGCCCCCCCCAAATCTTTGGCCAAACATATCACCCACAAACGGCAAATCTTACAACAACACAAGCCACAGTCCGACCCGCAAGCGCTGAGCGAACACATCCAACCAATCAGAATCGACGCTGCTGCCGCCAGCAATGCCGCGGCACAACCAGAAGCCCCAACCAATTTACACGCAAACCAACAGACTGGCAAACGACCAACAAAACTAACCAATTTATCGCACACTGGCACCACATGCCCAACGACGACCACCACGCCCGGAAACAACCAAGTAAACCCACACAGCAAGAGGCCCATGCACAGAAGCGAACGACAAGAAAGACACATATAGCAAACCAGCATGAGCAATTTCAAATTAGGAAGAGCATCCAACGCGACAAAACACTGCGGAAAACGAACTAACATTATTCGCATGACGCGCGAGTGGCCCGCGTGGCAGTATTTGACACGGATCGTGCCACCCACAGCACGAGCGCACGAGCGTTCGAGTGAGTTCGCCATGCGGCGCGAGGGGCCCGCCTGGCAGACTCTGATGCAACGATTGGGAACCGATGGTTCTCTAGGGAATCCGCACGAGCGCGAGCGCAGGATGTTTGAACGCTGCTGTTGCAAAGCCCTGTGGCTGTTTATATGTATCTGGGGCACTCGATCTTGACATCCTTAGGACACCGCAGGTTTTTTGTCCAACGACTTCGGCATGCGCGCGCGACGATGCGCGCCTGTGCACTTCGTTCATTTGTGCAAAAAAGGATTATTACGGCAGCACGCGCGCACGGGCGTTCGAACGATTTCGACACGCGCGCGAGAGGCCAACATGGAAGCAATTTCTGAAAATGTTGAAACACCCACGGTTTCATTAAGAATTAGCTAGAGCGCGGGCGAAATTTGAATTTGAAGCTTTTTGCAACAAAATCATATGTTTCACACGTTTCCGTGACACTCGATTTTGGAATCCTTACGAAACCTCAGGTTTCTGAGAGATTGCGGCATACCCGCGCAACGGCGCACGCGTGGAATAGGGATTCTTGGAAATTCATGCTGTGTGATCAACGAGAGCGCGCGCATAGCACTTTTGCAGAGGATGACGGGGGGGGTCGGTACCAGCCTGGATGGGATGGTACGAGTTCACGTGCAGGGGCGAGGGGTCAGGATCATCAATGCGTTTACAAGCGAAACCAACAGTTGATAAGACGGGGGGCTTCGGGGTATATAGCACCCCGCAATTGCGGATAAGAGTTAGGGGGCGGGCGCGGGCGACGCGGGCGTCGTCAAGCCGGCGGACCTCGTGGCCCCCACCTTCCTTGTCGATGGCGCTCTCCTCCTCCTCCTCCTCCTCCTCCTCCTCCTCCTCCTCCTCCTCTCCTCCTCCTCCTCCGCCTCCTACTCCTCCTCCTCTTCCTCGTCCTCGTCCTCGTTCTCATCGTCATCGTCGTCCTCCTCCTCCACCTCGTCCTCCTCCTCCTCCTCCTCCGCTTCTTCCTCGTCCTCCCTCTCCCCCCCTCGTCCTTCCATCATCGTCCTCCCATTGTCGTCATGTTCCTCCTCGTCGTCCTCCTCCTCTTCCCCCCCTCCCGATCCTCCACCCTCCTCCTTTTCGTCGTCGTCGTCGTCGACGTCATCGTCGTCGTCCCCTCCCTCCTCCTCCTCCTCCTCCTCCTGCTGCTCCTCCTCCTCCTCCTCTGCTGCTGCTCCTCCTCCTCCTCCTCCTCCTCCTCCTCCTCCTCCTCCCCCTCCTCGTCCTCCTGCAAAAGCAGCCCGCCGCAGGCGCCGAAAAAATTGGTTTGTACACTGAACGTGGTTTGGGTCGCGGGTGGGCCGCGGGTTCTCCACCGGGAACGAATGCAAAAGATGCTCGCCGCAGGCGCCGAACAAAATTGGTTTGTACCCTGAACGTGGTCGCGGGTGGGCCGCGGTCTCTCCACCTAGAACGATTCAAAAGATGCCCGCCGCAGGCGCCGAAAAATGTGGTTTGTACCCTGAACGTGGTTTGGGTCGCGGGTTGGTCGCGAGTTGATCGCGGGGTGGGTCGCGGGCTCTCCACCTGGAAGGAATGCAAAAAAAGCCCGCCGCAGGCGCCGAAAATGTTGGTTTGTACCTTGAACGTGGTTTGGGTCGAAGGTGGGTCGCGGGTGGGTCGCGGGGTGAGGTCGCGGGTGGGTCGCGGGTGGGTCGCGGGGTGGGTCGCGGGTGGGTCGCGGGTGGGTCGCGGGGTGGGCGCCGCGGGCGGGTCGCGGGGTGGGTCGCGGGTGGGTCGCGGGTGGGTCGCAGGGTGGGTCGCAGGGTGGGTCGCGGGGTGTGTCGCGGGGTGTGTCGCGGGGTGGGTCGCGGGTGGGTCGCGGGTGGGTCGCGGGTGGGTCGCGGGGTGGGTCGCGGGTGTGTCGCGGGGTGGGTCGCGGGGTGGGACGACGACAACAAACAACAACAACAACAAACAACAACAACAACAACACGAATCCGCACCGCGGAATCTCACTTCAGCCACGCACCCAGGGACAATGAATGACCGTTCGGCCCCCTCACTCTGATAATCTACCATCTGCGTGCAGCATGCCTGCAACGTGTGTGGTGCAATGTGCGCGGTGACCAAGAAGAAGAACACGAACCGAACACCTTATGTTTCCGCCTCGATCGTTGGGAGGCAAACACTGGGAGGTTCTCGTCGGAAATATTCAAGAGAATTAAACCCCATTCGGGGGCTGTTACGCCTGAGTGGGCCTCGGACTGAGCCGGGCTAAGCGGGATTCAGCCGAATTTCGGATCAGGGCAAAATCCCAATTTGACGTCCGAGGAGTTGCATCCGAACAATCGGCCACCCAAGAGCCCCAAGAAGCCCCCAGGCGACCCGAAAGGGGCGCCCGATGAGCCCCAAAAGGCCCCCGACGGGCCCAGACCAGGCCACAGACAGGCACCCAAGACGCTTCAAACTGCCTTCAGGACGCTCCATCTATATATATATATATATATATATATATATATATATATAAATATATATATATATATATATATATGCACAAACATACATACATACATCAGAGTGAGGGGGTCGAACGGTCATTCATTGTCCCTGGGTGCGTGACTGAAGTGAGATTCCGCGGTGCGGATTCGTGTTGTTGTTGTTGTTGAACATTATTACTTCTAAAAAATAATTATTGTTGGGACGGACCCCTGGTGCACGGCCCCCTCGCCGCGCCTAGGCCGCAGCCATGTTTTCATCACTTTCGTGAAGAAGTCTCCGGCAAAACGGGTTGGTCCGGATCCGGTTGTTTTGTTACGGGCGGTTTTCCCTTGCAAAAAAAAAAAGGCAAAGTGGACATTTCTTGTTCTAACATAACCAAACTTCAAGAATCCCTTGCAAAAATAAGGTAAAGTGGACATTCGCGCGCGCAAGACGAAATCCTTCCAAAACCTTAGTGTTCGTAGCGATTTAAACATAAAACATCAAAAAAACCAATGGTTTTTCAAAAAAAAAAAAAATGTCAAAATTTCATCCCGCGCGCTCTTGCGGATTTGTAGGAAACCCAACACTTTTTTAAACATTTCTGTCAAACGGGCTTTGGCGAACAACTTTTTCACGTGCTTCGAACTTCTCACAACGGTTGTTTCACGGTGGGTGGGCGTGCAAGCGCCGTTCCCGCCCCTCCTTCCTTTCTCCCTTTTCTCCTTTCCTCCTTGTCCTGCTCCTCCTCCTCCTCCTCCTCCTCCTCCGGCGGGGGGCGTGAGGATCCGGCATCGCTGACAACCATCGGGACAACCATCGGGACAACCATCGGAACAACCATCGGGACAACCATCGGGACAGTCATCGGGACAACGATCGGGACAACCACAACCATCAGGACAACCATCGGGACAACCATCGGGACAACAATCGGGACAACGATCGGGACAACCATCGGGACAACCATCGGGACAACCATCGGAACAACCATCGGGACAACCATCGGGACAATCATCGCGACAACCATCGGGACAACCACAACCATCAGGACCTCCAACCAGAGAGAGCTACTCACGTGTATTTCGTAGACGAATGAGCCAGTATTGCACATTGAGGCCGGAACGACAACCACAGAACAAGAATGAGCATGTATCGTCTCACAACAACGGAAACAAGTCCTGTGGTATGCTGGCGCCACCCA